CTTATTGAGTCCTACAGGCACACTGTGACCTTATTATAGGACTATTAAAGTGATGGAAGGAGAAACAAATGTCACAGAAGGATAAGGTCACTTTAATATCACTCTTTATAATGCAATATTGTGATGATGTGTCCTTTCATGTGGTGGCTTCAAAATGCTCACAGCATGACTTGGAATCATGGAAGACATGACAACAGCCTATCTGCGCTGCTTTTGTTTGACTTTGTCTGCACGTTGGACCTGCAGTGTAGTACAGTAGTACAGACTGTCATATTTAAATGGGCTGACTTGCATGTGAACCAAGAGTTCAATGTACCATGGAAATTGAGTGTCTTCTACTTCTTTTTTCGTGTTAGTTTACCTGTCTCATTGCCTCAGTGTTTCTCTCTCTCTCTCTCTCTCTCTCTCTCTCTCTCCCTCCATTATCTACCTGCATCCAGATGACTTCTCACGCCTCATCGCCACAGAAAGGAAATGAAGGTTCACACTGTTCAGTTAGATTACAGCATTGCTATGTAGAAACTAAGGGGGGAGTTCTCAGGAATCATAACACCCATGGGCATGGTGTTGCAGCAATTGTCCTTCCTAGGGGCAAACACCTGTAACATTAGACAAAGGAGTGAGAGAGGAAAACGTGGGTCTGACGGAGCTGCTCCTCAGTGGGAGAGGGAGAGAAAGTCCTCTACTGTCTGCACTCATCTCCATATCCACTGTGGAACGGCCAACCGAGACAATGTGTGCTCATGATTTAACTGGTCGTGATTAGCATCCCCCACCTCTGGTGTTTTAGGTCCTGTAGCCTGAAAGATAAACAAACTGACTGAGGTTTCAGGCAGTCGCTCAACACCAGTCCAGATTAGTGTGATTGTTATTCCCGGGGAAGCTGCATGGGCTCGAGTGAAAACGGGGAAAGCATTGGATGAAAATTACTCAGATCTCAGCACAGTAGGCGATGCAGCTGTTTATATTACTGTGTATATAACCTTCCCAGGAGGCTGGTTTAGCAATGAGAGCTCAGCAGCCTGCAGGAAAACTGCCTGGTTTGTGTTTTTTTAAAAGTCAGCAGTGGATTATCACAGTTTTAAGTGCTCCCGGGTCTAATTTTCTTTAGTTAACCCGCCTGATGCTTCCAAAGATTTCATGTCAGTGTGCACATAAGTTATCACGTGGTATTAATTCATAGTCACCTCTGTATTGATCCCCTCTGTGTCTTTTACACCATCAGAGGAGGGCTAGATGAAGTGTTGGGTTCAGGTGGGACACCATGACAGATCATCACTCCTCACTGCTGGGGGGTCAAGAGGTAAAATCACACAATTCACAGGTGGGTGAAAAATTGTGCAATTGATGCCTGTAAAATGTATCGAGCAGGTGTGTCAGGTACAGCAGGATTGCCAAGTAATTTCAAGTGAATATTGATTCTATTAATGTGAATGGTTATACTTGCTATAATTCATTACTGATGCAATGATATTTCATGGAGACTTACAGAAGGTGCATGTGTTTGTTACAGGTTAGGCGCCTGAATCTATGCACCAAGTATTCTGACTTTTGGCTTCATTATTCTTAGTACTGTATGTACTTTATGACAATAACTGCAAAACCATTGATTTATATCAACTTAAAAGGTGATGTTGTGTGGCATGTTATCACAGATTTAAGTAAAGGTCACTACTTATCATTGTACTTAATGTCAGAATGGCTGCTGTGGAAAACGTCTATTACACGTAAATAAATAGCTTGGGAACATTTTGGGTAGAAAACAATAATTTATTAACAATGTACACTAAATATGAAGCTACAACTAGCAGCCAGTTAGCTTAGCTTAGTACAAAGAGTGGAAATATAAAGAATAAGCTTGCCTGGTTCTGAAGCCCGAAGATAACAAATCCGCCTACAGCGCCTTTAAAGCTCACTAATTAACAACTCCCAGCCAAGAAATAGTCCACATAAGATAAACTGTCATTTGCAGAACAAAACATGTAACATTTTCTTTAGGTAAAAGTACAGAAAATGAACTGAAAGTATCAAAAGTGAAAGTCATTATCCAGTGGAATGGCAACATGAGTGGTATCATAATATGTACTATTTGATTATTATATTATATTATATTATTATATTATAAGCAGCATTTTACTGTTATAGCTGGTTGTGGTGCAGTTCATTTTGACTACTTTATTTACAGATGGGTTCATGGGTTTAATCATTGATAATGCAGTCTAATTGATAAACTGAGTGAATCTGCAGGCTAACATCTGTCAAAAAATTTTGAAAAGAGTAAAAGTATACAGTGTAGCATAAAATGGAAAATAGTCCCTAGCACCTCAAAATTGTACTGAAGTAGTGCTTGATACTTTCCATCACTGGCCAGTGCATAATTCTCCCCTGCTCTTAAATGTGAGCGCTCCCCTCTCCTGCAACACTTACAGTGGGTCTTCACTGCCGCCTTATGGTCAAACACTGCTACTGACACAATGAACCGGAGAGGGGAGCCAAGTTACAGAAAATATTTGGACCATGGCACATTTCATAAAAATGCTATTTATCTGTATGATCTCATGGTCTACTGTTTGACTGTGTGTCTGCATTTTAAATGCTGAGATACTAATGTGAACACTAATGGCTACTCAGTTGGCTGCCACATAGCTTTATTTGAGCCTTTGTACAAAAAATAACTTTAGACCATTTATGCTGGTATACTGGAGTGAAGCCAAGCAAATGCTTTGCAAAACTTACTTAGATTTAATACCTATTTAGTTTTTGTGCTGTTGAACTCTTTAACATTTTACTCCAGGCTTGTGGTGAAGGTTCTCCTCTTCTCCCTCCCTCCAAATTCATTTGTATTTATGAAATGCATTCTTTCAGACTTCTCTTGGGCTGATATTTCACCTCCAGGGATTTTCCCCTTTTGCAGAACGATCATTGGAGGACATGATGGAGAGCCAGCCGTATAAAGCTGTAAAGAGAATACTCGCTGTTTATTTCGACCAGAGAAAATGAAGAAATGTTAGAATATTGTTACCATTTACAAATTCTCCACAGTGACTTCTGTGTTAATATAATGCATTATTCATCCACTGCAGCTTTTAAGAAAGAGGTCCCTTTGTTCCCACTTGAAAATTCAAGGTAAACATCACAACAGAAATTCAGAAGCAAATTTGTATCAGGCAGCAGTGCCAGCAGACTACTCAATACTTGGCTCACTATATTCACCAAAAATAAATAACGTCTTTGGCCTGAACTCAAGACTTTCTCATTTACCTAATGAATGAAACTCATTCCATCTTGTCTAAAATGTTTCCCTAGCCCATACTAAACAGCAGCCCTGACTTTGCTTACCATTA